CTGCTACAATTTTTAACTTCATCATCAGTTTTGACGACATGGTTGTTAGTTTTCACACAAAATCTACTACCATACTTAAACAAGAACCCAGACCCACATTCCGTTACCCATCTTCGATTCTTTATTTTTTTTACCACTAATCTGACAACATAGCCACCCCATTTTTTAATACTCTCTAACGTTTCTAAATTTCTTATTTCTTCTGGTAAATCTTCCAGTGTTAAATCTTTAAATGGGATAAACCCTGAATGGCCAGGATTCTTGTGACATTTAAACTTATTTAAATCGTGTCCTTCCTGTAATATATCACCTTCTCTCGCCACCTCAATATCAACATCAGATTTAAACTCTTGTTCATCATGATAACACCGAGCCATTCTTACTTCTTACAATCAAAGAAAACCTGAAAATATTAAAGAAGAAGCTACAAATCAACTGATATATTCAATATAACTATTTTCGTTATCATCTATATCCTTTATCTTATTATACTTAAATTAAGAATAACATAACTATCAGATACCCCAATTAATGTATCTTTTTATAGTAAGGTGGTTTCCAATCTAGTCTCGATTATCCACATTCTGTAAATCATAATGTGAGTTAATAGTCTTGATAATTTGGTCTACAATATTGTTCGAAGTGAGTCAAATTGGCGATTGACTCATTCACAGATAAACCTCATACACAAACTCATAATACAACCTCATTACGACTCAATAAATTGTCGTTTGTCCCCTATCGAAAAAATCCTCTAAACACATATAGCTTACAATGTAGACCACTACGTTTCTACAGTTGGGCGGCCTAGCTCTACACATAATCCGTAGGGTTTAGCCCTATATTGCACGGAATAGAGGAACAAAAAACTAAACTTAGCTAATATTTGTTGATTATACCTATTGCAAGGTCGATATTATATATTACACTCCTTCCAGAAACAAACTAAACTTGATGAATATAGATCAAGTCTGTTGTAATATGCAATTAACTCGTAATATGTACTTCCTTCTTGTTCAAATGGTGATTTACGTATTTATGTGCGAGTCTAATCTAGCCTCGAATATCTTGGTTCGATAAGTGACAATATAGCTAGTATCGTTCTTTTGCTCTGGATGTGAGAGACTAGAGATTTAATAATGGAATTTCCAACTTTAATGTCAATTTCAAACTGGAATTCTCACATTATCAATGATGTAGTCTCTATTATCATGTATTAAGTGTATAATGTAGGCTATTTGGTCTGAATAAAATAATAACACTAATAAATAAGTCCCAACTATTAACCCACATTAAAGTCAAAGTTTAAGTCAAAGATGAGAGAAAAGACCAGTTTATAAAAGTGAACAACACATTACAATTATGTTACTAAAGAGGTGAGAAAGACTTTGCCTGTATTATCTTCATGTTTTAGAAAATCTGGCCCTTATCTACCTTATAAGGAAATATTGTGCACTGTATGCTATGGAAGACCAATCAGCTCAAAATTCGATGTTCTTATTTCCTAATTGCTATTTCCTAATTGTTAATGCCTAATTTCAATTTATAACTTTTTATTTCTTCATTTGTAGGCTTAACTGAACATTTGTATACAGAATTTAACATTTGTATACAGAATTTAACATTTGTATACAAAATTTAACATTTGTTCGCCAATATCTAAATTATTAGTTTAAGACTGCCCTACGTCTAGAAAAACCAACTTTTGTTGTACGAATTCAACATTTGTCTATTTAAAAATGTCATCTATATATCTTAATGACATTTTCTGTAATAGCGATTCCATAACAGTAAATTTCTACTAACAATTATGTAGTAACAAATTTCAACATATAAATCTAGCCCAACAAATGTGCAAATAAAAATCCCAGAAACAAATCTCCAAAAACATTTCGCCTAATACAAGTCTACAACATGTTTAACAGCATCATTATGACGTTAGGCGGCGCTGTTGATTGCTTCAAAATAAGAAACAGACTATAGCCAAGTGTTGTTTGCCTAACCGAAAGTGGAATTTAGGCTAATATAGTAACAATGTCTAATATATCAGAGTCCCAGAAATTTTGACCTGAGAAATCCATGCTAATGAATAAATTATGCTTCGCTAAGACTAAGTCTAATATTAGCCTACATAATATAGTCATTCTTTATTAATCAATCATAACACGTCAAGACACTGATGAACAATATTTCTTTGAAAACACCAATCAATGACATTTAAATTTATTCTTCTTACTAGTACTATAATCTGCTAGGCCCTATTGTCTGAGCAAACGGTTTTTTGAAATATCAGCCTAGTAAGCCTAGCCTACTGTTAACCAAATGTTAAGATCGAGCATAGGCCTATTACCTTTTAGGTGAATGGCCATGGATGGGAAATTGGATCTTAACATTTGGTTGTGGAATGATGATTGACTTTGTTGGTGTAACCCTGTAAATATGTAAGGATTTAGTTACAAAGTGAATTTGCACTTATTTTGTTATAATAAAAAAGAAAATCTATGAGGATAAGATGATGCCCCTATATCAAAGTTACATAGAGCTATTGGTTTTAACCATTCAATTTTCCTGATGAATACATACCGTTGATTATGTACACTTCTGCCTGAAATAAAACTTCCTATTCCTTTATTCTCGCGCATAAACTGGGCAACTTTCACATTCTCTCCTCCTTTATCAGACTTCACTTTCTCTGGTATACCCCATTCTTCTATAGCCGTGATAAATACTTGAAGAACAGAATCAGCCTTGTTATTTGTATTTACAACTAGAAAAACTGGAACTCTTGAGTACCCATCAATCCCACCATGAATTACAAACCTCCATCTGATAAAAATAACTAACTACCCTTCTGTTGGATAGTAACTTGTTACCTTCCAATCACCCTAATCTACAATGTATGAATTACTATTAAAATAAGAAACTTGTTTACAAGCAAGTTTTACCATAACCTACCTTATCAGTTTGTGGTTACCGTCCATGTGCCATAGAGCACACACGCACGCACGCACGCACGCACGCACGCACGCACGTACATTGTAGCATCTTCGCTGAATACGCCTTACACTGAAGAAGAGGCGTCTAAAAATGACACCTTCAGGATCCACAGCTCTTAAACAATCTTGTATTCTAGCTCTCTGAACTTTAAGTCCATTATCACGCAGTAGAGCACTTATAGTCCTGTAGCCTGCATCAGGAAATTGATTTTTAAGGTCTTTTACCTTATTTTGTAATTCTTGATCACCAATATCACTATAAAGTCTCCCTGAAAGTCCTTTCTGTGTTAGGTTCCTTTTAATTGTGCTTATACTCACATTAAGCAATTTGGCAATTTCTGACACACTAAAATCACATTCTAATAGCTCCTCCAAACCTTCCTAAGAAATCAAGTAGCTTGGCCTGCCTACACTCCCTGTGTAAAAAAGTGGGGGTTGTTTTTATCAATTATATGATTATTTAGTAAATCCTCTTGAAAAGATGATAACAGCTCATAATTTGCAAGTGTATGAATAATTTTAATAATTTTTTCTCGCAAGAGATTTTTCATCTGCTGTATGAGTGTGTGATCTGGATTTTCACACCTGGTGATATAAATGATCACCTAAAATTGTTCCTAAAAATAAAACAACTCTACTTTCGGTTAGGCAAACAACACTTGGCTATAGTCTGTTTCTTATTTTGAAGCAATCATCAGCGCCGCCTAACGTCATAATGATACTTTTAGAAAGTTGGAGATTTGTTTCTGGGGATTTTTATTTGCAGATTTGTATTTACACATTTGTTGGGCTAGATTTGTATGTTGAAATTTGTTACTACATAATTGTTAGTAGAAATTTACTGTTATGGAATCGCTATTACAGAAAATGTCATTAAGATATATAGATGACATTTTTAAATAGACAAATGTTGAATTCGTACAACAAAAGTTGGTTTTTCTAGACGTCTTAAAAAAAAGTTATAAATTGAAATTAGGCATTAACAATTAGGAAATAGCAATTAGGAAATAAGAACATCGAATTTTGAGCTGATTGGTCTTCCATAGTATGCTTCTATTTAACTGTGTCTAATCCTGATTTATCTAACAAAAGACATGTACTGATTAAAATACATTATCTCCAATTTCTATATCTCCAATTTCTATATCTCCAATTTCTCTATCTCAAGAGACGCAATACTTCCCTGAGGCCCAAATTTAGCCGATTAAAAAAAATCCAGGACACACTTTTGAACCATAGTGATTCCATAAACAAATTCACTATGGTTCTTAACAAAATATCGTCGATGCGCTTTCAAAATCTCGTATATCGCCAAAATCTCGTATATAACTTTTCTGAACGTCGAAAATCTTCCCTCCGAGCCGCACCTATGTATCTTATTTTCGTACTTCTAGTCCAATTAGAAGTTCCGTTCAGGACATGTGACATAATCTCGTAAAATAATTGGTTGATTATTTTTTCCAATTAAAATCTCGAGACGGCGTTGAGCCTAGAAAATAAACAATACAGGTGAGAATATTATTGAAAATATTAAATGTATCAAAGCCGTTATGTTTTATAAGATATGTAGGAATAATAGGCATTTGATTGTTTTAGTTTAGTGATTCACATCTGCCCAATAAGCAGTACAAACCCGTAGACACCCTGAAAAGTCGTTTGTATCAAGTGATATAAATTATATGTGAGCCATGGTTTATTGTCGGTCCTCTCCTTGAAGTTGACAATTCAAATCAGTCTGTTAAAATTAAATTGCCTTTCTGACAGCGATATACGAAAATTTGATTCGCTAATATAATGAAATGAAATAATTTGATGGGAATCATATACGATATTTTGACATCTCGTTTCTTTTAAATTTTGGCATTAGTTCAATGATTTCTCTCTTTCAGGTATAAAATTATATGTTCCCGGTATGGCTGGTTTCTCCCGTGGCAAAAAGATTGTCAAAATGGCACTGAAGACTAATGATGAGACCAGTAGGTCTACTTCAGCATGTTCCTTATCTAGAGCCCCTGCATGTACAAATCGCATCATTCCATCATCTTCTACCACATCAAGTTCAGCACAGCTCTTCAATAACGTGCCAGGGAAGTTACAAAACGAATATATATTGGTAACACACCAACCAATGCCGACGTACAGGTCACAAACCCAGATTCACCTAACACACCACGATTAACTGATGGCAAATCTAAACGATCAAGGCGTGGTAAACGAATTCCTTTACAATGGGATAGAAATGTAAACCAAATTCTTCGCATGAAAGGAAAATCTTACCGGGGTGTAAAAAGTTCTGAAGACGGAAGATATTGTCAAGCGGCCGATAAGCGTGAACGAAAACTTAAGGATAGAAAATGTTCTAAAGCTTGTGCCCTATCCAAAAGGTGTGGAGAATTTAGCGAAGAAAATAGATTGTCAATTTTGAATCGTTTCTGGGGTGAGCTAACTTGGAAACAGAAAAAAAAGTTTTCGTGGCAAATATGGTGGATCAGGTGAAGATGGTTGAAAGAAAGAAACGCGCAGAAGATAGTAGAAAGAAGAATTCTTATCGCTATCATTTGAAGAAAAATGATGCACGCACTGTGGTTTGTCGTTATGTTTCTATCAACACTCGATCTTCAAGATAAAACTGTGTATGAATGGGTGAAAAATGTTGATGATGGTATTCCAAAAGAACCAGCCATAAGGAAACCCCGAGAATCGACAATACAGGTTAATAAAGTCAACAAAGCGAAACAGTTTTTACAGGATCTACCTAAATTACCATCGCATTATTGTCGTTCTACGTCTAAGAAGAGTTACCTAGAACCAATATTTACCACCTTCTCTGAGCTGTTCAAAGTGTATGTTGATGATTGCAAGCAAGAAAACAAGCCATTTTTACGTCGAAAGGCGTTCCGTTCCCTATTTGATGATATGAGTCTGGCAATACATCGTCCCAAAAAAGATAAGTGCGATATATGTTCTGGTTTTGAAGTGGGTAACATTTCAGAAGAGGAATACAACCTTCATATTGCCCGCAAAATAAATGCCCGAAATGAGAAGATTCGTGATAAGCTTCGGGCTGAAACTGATGGCTCAGTTAAAGTCGTTTCTTTAGATTTGCAGTCCCTCCTGTTATGCCCATTACTCACTGCTAGCTCGATGTATTACAAAACCAAATTGGGGTGCCATAATTACACAATTTTTGATTTGGTAACTAAGGAAGCAATGAATTACTTTTGGCATGAAGGTATTGGTGATTTGAATGGTAGTACGTTTGCGTCTTGTTTAGCTGACTACATTCTTGGTTTGGATCCGAACATTAGAGAACTCATCATCTTCAGCGACGGATGTACATATCAAAACAGAAACACAATATTATCAAGTATGTTACTGAAACTTGCAACAGAAAAGGGAATAAAGATCACCCAAAAAGTATCTCGAAAAGGGCCACACACAGTGTGACTCTGTTCATAGCACGATCGAGAGAAGACTACGCGGAAAACCCATTTATATACCCCAGAATTACGTTGATTTAATCCGAACAGCTCGAGTAAATCCTCCCTATAAATTGAAGTATCTTACATTTGATTTTTTCAAAAACTATAATTTGCTAGGGTTTTACACATCTATTCGACCAGATACTCGTGTTGGCGATCCTGTTGTGACGGATATTCATGTTTTATCATACAAGGATGGCACTATACAATACAAATTGAATTTCCGATGAGTTCGAAGATCTTCCAAGACGGAATAAGAAATGCTCTCCTACTGTTGATGATCCGATAATATTAAACAATCTTTATATAGAGCCTTTAAAAATCAAATCAATTAAGTTCAATCATCTTCAAGAACTTAAGAAAGTAATACCACCTGATTATCACCCATTTTATGACAATTTACATCATGAATGAACATTCGTGTGAGGCATAATAGTCATTTATTACAGATTAGTTTATTTTTAGGCCATTCTAGAAACCATATATTTCGTAATTTCTGTATATAGGTTTAGAGGTATCAATTAGATGACCGGTTTCCTTTTTTGTGTTTACTGATACAATATTTCTTTTGAAAATAAAGACTGTAATATGATTGAATTTAAGCCTTATTACATTCATCAAAAAATCGTATATCCAATTTACGCCCAAGAAAAATCAATAGTTTGATGTTAAAATTTCGTATATTGCCTTATGACGTCACTGTTTATGCGACAGATCTTTTGGTGGTACTGATCAATTCCAGACTAATTTAATGACTTATATACGAAAATATTTAAAGATACGATAATTTCCAAAGAATTGGTGAAGTTTTTTGTTCTTCCTGTATAATTTTTATTATCCCGTATATGACGATATACGACATTTTGAAAGCACAGCGACGATATGTCATATGAGATAAGATCTTTTAGGCATGCTTTTAGTTTACTATTCGTAATTTTATAGTATAGGATCGTTATATTGATTTCTTCATTGTTTTCAAGCTGTGGATTTACACATTTTAATTATTTTCGAATCTTTCCGCTAAGTTAATTAGAACTTACACAAGAGTCGGCAACAATATATTCACATTAACCCTCTATAAACAGCTGACCTGCTTTATTTAATGATAATACATATAATGACATATAATTTATTTAAAGCTGTGAAAAAGTGCATTATGAACCTCTTCGAATCTTTCCGTTAAGCCAATTAGAACTCAATCAAGAGTCCATATAACAATGAAAATGACCTAAAATCAATAACGCATATTTCGGAAGTTGACAACTAAACTAAGGATATTGTTAAAAAGCTTATGACAAGTACATTGTAATAAAAATCAAATTAAATGGTAAAGTCCAAGATCATGTGATATAATTCACCGAAGATACGAAAAATATGAATTACCCATTTTCAGAGTATAAATCAAAAGGTAATGTACCAAAAAAACAAATCAGGATCAACAATGACAATCTAGTTAAAGGAGATGTTGAAGTAGAAAGTTGGGGGTTGTGAAAGCTCATGCTCAAAAGTTATCACTTCTGGAAATATGGCCTGGTAAAACAAAAATTGAGCGGAAATTGTGACGAGGTCGAAATTCAAAAAAGGACTTGTAGATGACCAAGGTATTTTTCTTACTTACATTTAAAACAAATTTGAGAACCATCGGATAAAAAATGTAGTCTGCATTAAATTTTTGCTGGACTCATTTACACTTCAGGTATATAAAAACCAGGCTTATTAATATATTCTACTTCTATTTCAGTGAAAGATTGTGGAGCTGTACCACTGGATATTTCATCTACAGGAACTGCAGTAAATGGTACAACATACACAAACGAAGCAGAATATACTTGTAATGAAGGATTTGAAAAAGCAAGTGGTAATACTAAGATTGCATGTTTAGCGTCAGGTCAATGGGATGTTGCTAGTTTGTTATGGAGGTCAATCGTATTCAGAATTAGATGCTATGTACTTGTCTAATACTTACGACACGATACATCTGTGCAATGTTCAAAGACAAAATACCTCTTTTACTTATGTCATAATACGTCTAATTCAAAATGCAAATGTTAAATTACATAAAACCACCGACACAATACCTAAAATGATACGTGCAATGTCCTTTTACTTTCGACATTGTACATTGAACAAAGCATAATTGTTTTTGCGTCTTTTACATTGCACTAGTTACATTACATCATCGTCTTAGTATCTTCTACATTGCATTAGCGAACGTGTTTTATCTCGACTGCATTATCTTTTTGTGACTTGTGGGTTGAGCCTATCAGCAATATTAAATCATACACAATACTTTCTCCCTAAGGGTTTCTGGTTTCAACAATCTCACGTTCAATAAAATGTAAGCACTGTGAAAGGGGTAATTTAAAATTTTCTAAATTGAGGTGACTGTATTCAAGTTCGAGGGTAGATAAATGTTATACGCACTTTCTATTTGATGACGGAAATGCAAATGAAAATCACACAAATCTGCTGCCAAGGACGCTATCGATATCAATATAACGATAAGGCCGAATTGACACAAATCGCCTCCGATCCTTCTAAAGCTAAAAAATTAAGAAGGTTTCATCAAATTCGGCTAGTACTTGATGATCTCCGTTAATAACCTATATTCAGTAGATGTATTGAAATGGCAATAAAGTAGTATGTAGTTTTATCGACTTTTTAAGGTATTTAGCACCATTTGGTTCAGGGAAAATTTAAGTGTGCACCATGCTATGTGTCTGAAAGTGCAGTATGCTGCAATCCATGCTCGTTCTTTTTAGGTTTTGGACCTTTTTTGTTTTTTCTTGTTTACGATTTCTGTTGGTAAACCAAGAAACTATAAATCTTCAAAACTATGAATGGTCCTATTCAACAGCCATTTTAGAAGACTCTCGATTTGATCAAAAGTGGGATATATTTACAACCTTTGGATTGGTTTTATTCGATTTTTATAGGACGTTGAAATATTATTGAAATTATATTTCAATTTCGTTTCGTTTTTTCTGATATGTTTTTGCTATTTATTGAAACTTAACAAACTTCCCAACGCAACCCAGTTGCTACAAAGCGTTGGAAGCGATGTCACCTAAAAATGAAAAATTGTAATCTGATATTAATTAGAATGGAATGAATCGTTAAAGTGTATCATTATACTTTTTTACATTGTGAAATTACAGACAGATCCATTATGTGTGACTTATATTAGATTTGGTCATTGTACAAGATGGCCAATTGACAGGACTAATTTGTTCAGTGTCCAGTTAATGTCACACATCTTGTAGACAAAATGTTTAAATTCGTTATGGTTTTTAGAAGCTGTTAGAAAACTTACAGATTAAAGTAAAACTAGATCTCTCAGCTTCATGACCTGTTACATAATCTTTTTAACTCCTTACGATTAATTCTTTATTGTTCAACTATTTTGCCAAATTTTGTTTGTGCTTAAAATTTTACATATTTATATATAAAGCTATTACTTTGCACATTATAATTCTGTTCGAAAGTTAATTAGAACTCACACAAGTGTCCGCATCAATATTAAAATTACTTGTTTTCACATTAACCCTCTATGAACTGGTTACATAATCGTCTCAACTCTATATAATCTGTTCTTAATTAATAGTATTTTTTTCAAATTTTGTCCCAACTTTTGATAATGCATATTAAATGATATATTTACCTAAAGCTCTAAAATTGCTCAATATGATTCTGTACATTAGTTAATTACACAATCAAGAGACGCTATAAATATTAAAATCATCTATATTCAATAATGCATATTTTTGAAATTTTTAAAATGATAACATTATTTAGAAAGCTTAACACAAGCACATTGCAATAACATCAAACTTTATGTTGAAAAAGTTCATATCATATAATCCTTTGACATTAGAAAAATATGAAAATTATCCATTTTCAGGGCCGAATAAATCAAAAGGAAATGTACCAAAATAAAAAATCGGGATCAAAAATGACAATCTAGTATAAGGAGATGGTGAAGTAAGGTTGTGTAAGCTCATGGTCAAGGGTTATTACTACTTGAAATGTGGCCTGGCCTTTGACATGAAATACCAAGTCGAAATTCAAAAAAGGGCTTCTAAAGGACTATCGATTTGAGAACTATCGAAAATGTAGTCTGCATTATTTTGTTTACGATTTTTTGATTTTTCAAGATGGTGGCTAAACGGTAAGGAATATCCACAAAGGTATAAAATGAAGATATTGATGCTACAAAGTTTGTGGAATTACATATTTGCTAGTTGTTGCATTGTCTGAAAAATCTGATTTTTGTGATTTTCGGCCTTTATTGGTCATTTCTGACTGTTTGCGTAAATTTTACGAATTTTTGTTTTTGTCTCTAGACAATTTTTCGTGAAAATCGAAGAAAAATTTAAGAAGGTAGAATTTTGACAAAAATTTAGTACAAAAAGTAAGAGTCAAAATTTTCGAATCAGTTTTTTCATAAAAATGCAGTCTGCTTGCAAGTTTTTTCAATAATACATACAAAAATTTGAGGCTAATCGAACAAAAAGCGTTTTATGGCGGATTTCTGAAATTAACAAGTTTTCCTCTATACCATTTCCCGTTGAAGTCTGTTGCCTGGAAAAAAATATTTAAAAGGTAATTCTGAGGTCTTGAATGTCTGACCAAATCCCAAAAATGTTCTACCTATTACAGTTTTCGCTAGGTTATCTGACAACAATTAAAAATAAATAGATCAAAATATATTAACGTTCAAGCAGTCACGTTACAAACCCAACACACAGATCTGACCCCCAACAGCGATAAATACGTGTGATATAAAATCATTTTTAAAATCTGAAACACGTAGAGAGTGAAATAAATGCAGTAATACAGCACAAATAGAGAAAAGTACGATTTAAAATCAGTTAGCAAGGCTCGTAATCTTAAAAATAGATTTTTTCTGTCTTTATAAAGTTCTACATGAATTAGTCCTTCATTAGTAAAGAATTGAATACATCAAAATGGAAACAAAAACGTTAGCTATCACAAGCAATGGTTTAATTAATATTTTTGGTATATTTAACCACCTGGAGTCTCACATGACTCCATGCAATTTGTTATAAGCTTCACCCAATCACAGCCATTGCACACAAATTTTAACGTAAAATGAAATATGAAAAATATTAACATCATGTTTCGAGCGCGACAGCCGCTACTACCATAACATGTCAACATCATGAGATACAATCAGATCAATATCTCTGAATATATAAATCACCCAACAAGCAAGAAAAATAATTTCCATAATTTCGCTATAACGACTATAAAATTTCCTAAGTGAAGTTTGAAATATATGTGTCAAGGTCTATGCTTATATATGCTAGTAATGTATTGTTTCAAACAAGCCACGGACTCTTGTGTGAAAACCCATACTTGGTGTTCTTGAACAAGGATCTGGAACAAGCATTGTTAATGACCAATGTTTCAATGTTTGCTAAGGTGCTAAATGCACACCCACGAAAAAAAAAAGTTAGCAAGTTTTGTGCTTGTTTACTCAAATTAGAATAGTTTCGATGGTTTCAATGTCAAACCACATGAACTGGTGTTTTACTCCAAGTCGAAACTTCAGCTCAAGAGTCATTGTGAGGATTAGTTATTTCATTTTGACCTGTGGCTTCATTTCCCCTCTATTCACAAAATTCCTCTCTTTGTCTATAATTTACCAACGATTTGCGAATTTCGCTCTAAAGAATTCAAAACCCACGCCTGGGCCCCTAGGCCCCATGGCCCCTGGGGGTGCATGTGGACCCCGGTTGAGAAGCACTGGTTTAAATGTATTTCCTGTATGTGAGGTTAGATGTATCCTGATATTATAATAAATAACAGAAGATGTGTTTTCGGAGTTATTTATAACTTCCTGTTGTTCCTGTTTAACGTCTTGAATATGAGATGATTGCAAGATACCTAATACTCTAATATATAATATACAACATTACCCCCCTTGTGTAGGTCGACAATTTCAGGTATAATTTACGACGTTTCTGATAATGGAAACTTTTTACAAAAAAAGCAGAATACTCTTTTAAGATATTGCCATTATGTCGTGTGCGTCTTCCAATTTCATATCTCAAAAAGATCAAACGACGAGTCGACTGATAATAAAGGAAAAAATAAATCACACGATAACTAATTCCTATATCAAGCGAAAGAAACACTCGTCGTTTTATTTTTATGTACCTCTCGCTTTTTTTGTTATTTGTCGCTTGATAAAGGGATTAGTCCCGAAACGTAGCTAGATATACTTTATTTTTTCCTTAAATTCATATCTCATTAATAGTTCAATCCTACCAAAAGAGTTAACTGGATGGATATATTTCATCTAATGTTCGTTTACGGTCTTGTGTTGCTCATCAACCAATTTCTTACGTTGCCGTTCTTGTAGCATTGACACCAAAGGAAATTCTGTTAGATTCATGAGATGACATTCTGATGTATTGATGGTAAACTTCTCGTTCCACTTTGACGAGGGAATTTGTAAATTATCTTGAGTGGGATATTTACAGTAATCGTGCACCTGCTTAAGAATAATTTTAAAATAAAAAACTTCGTTTAGAAAATCCGTACCATGTGAAATGATTTCTTGAAATAATTTCATCTTAAAATGGTCGTAAACATTTTTATATACTCCAGTCTTACGTTCAATTAAAGTTCTGTCTTCGGGACTTAACGCATAACCTTGTTTAGCTTTGTTTACATTTCGCGTTATATAGACAATGTCCTTGGTAGACCAGCATAATTCATATTTTAATAAAACTAAACTTTCATCAAAATATTCTGTAATCATTACGAAATTAAAATCATTTTCCGATTCTTCCAACACACGATAAATATCTTTAGAAGTGTCAAATACAAAATCACTATGTTTAATGGTCATTTCCGTTTGTTGAAATGGGTAAGGGCCATCTGTCATCAGTGATTTGTACTTAGATATGCTATAATAAGCTCCAGAAACAAATCTTTCAACTGGATCGCGCATTATGGTCAGATAAAAAGGATTAGGTATAAGTTGTTGATAAATTGTCTTATTAAACACCGTATCCACGCTCAAAATATTGTATACTTCCCCTTTTGGCAATGGAATGATTTCTCGAACTGTATGAGAAGACAAGTGTCCAAGTACCCAAAACCATTTTCCAGTTTTATCCGGCAAAACAAAGTTCAAGTTTTCACGCAGCCCGAATCGCTGGAGAATATTTGAAGCCGTAGTACTTCCACATTTATGAGCTTTGAGAAAGGCAATATTTTTCACCTTTGAACACGACTGCTTTGAATTTTTCACTGTCTCTGACATTTTACTGCTTTTCATCCAGGTAACATTTCTTTCAAGGAAACAAACACACAAAATAACCCTGAAAATAAAATGGGTAAAGATTAAGAGTTATATTTTTTGATACCGAAATGTACCACACGATTTTAGACAACTTCAGAATGTCGACGATATTGGCGTTTTTTAAGGTTTCGTTACAGTTTTTAATTCAAAATTACACGTATTATTACATTATTGTTACCTAGGTGAAAATTAAAGTTTTTAATTCAAAATCAAAAGTGGAATATGTCGTATATGAGCCACCGTATTTAAATACTTTAACGCAAACGTCAACAGTTTGTAACGTTTTGTAGGAGGTGTTAGAAAACTACTGTGCAGATGTAAGCACAAATAGAGAAACAGGTCTCCGACATATGTTTCAACTGAAAATATGTAGTCTCCCGACACCAAAACAAATTTAAACTGCTTAATTAACAATTTTTGAGAATTCTGTTTACTGCTCCTTGATACAGTTGACAGTGGCGGAGCCAAAGGGGGCAGCCGCCCCCCCCCCCCCCCCCCCTCGCAGCCCCGAAAGCAAGTTTTTCGGGCAAAAATCTCACAACTAGGTTAGAAATTCGGGCAATCTCAGATATTTCGCCCCCCCCCCCTCTCGGAGATAAACCTGGCTCCGCCACTGACAGTTGATACATGTCTTTTAAATTGACATACTTGATTAATTTCCGTCCACATGTCAATGTTAGCGACAACACCTGTATACTTATTAATCATCCCGACAAAACAGCTGCTAGTATACATTCAATTACATTTAGTAAATTATATAACGTAAATATATACAAAATGAAAGATCAATAAAAAAAACAGAAAAATTAATAGATTAATAATTTATTTATTTATAAGAACGAATGCAATGCAGTATTCGATTTGATTTGACAGGAACCTTAGATTACTTCATATTGATTCAAATCCTTAAATATGCAATACATGCGTTTTAAAAACCAATTTTTTTGAATTAGTAAGGATTGTGGATGTGAATTTAAGAAGCACTACCAGGAAGTTTATGCTATAACGAAAAGGGAAATCATTATACCATATACAAATACCACTGTTAAAATATTGAAGCGGGATATAGAAATATCACTGTTAAAGTAGTGATCAATACATCAATTGTAGAGTGATATAGAAATGCCACTGTTAAAATAGTGCTCAATACACCAATTGTCGAGTGATATAGAAATACCACTGTTAAAATTGTGTCCAATACATCAATTGTAGAGTGATATAGAAATACCACTGTTAAAATAGTGCTCAATACATCAATTGTAGAGTGATATAGAAATTCCACTGTTAAAATAGTGCTCAATACATCAATTGTAGAGTGATAAAGAAATTCCACTGTTAAAATAATGCTCAATACACCAATTATAGAGCGATATAGAAATACCACTGTTAAAATAGTGCTCAATACACCAATTATAGAGCGATATAGAAATTCCACTGTTAAAATAGTGCTCAATACACCAATTATAGAGCGATATAGAAATTCCACTGTTAAAATACTGCTCAATACATCAATTGTAGAGTGATATGAAAATACCACTGTTAAAATAGTACTCAATACATCAATTGTAGAGCGATATAGAAATACCACTGTTAAAATAGTGCACAATAAATCAATTGTAGAGTGATATGGAAATACCACTGTTACAATAGTGCTCAATACATCAATTGTAGAGCGATATAGAAATACCACTGTTAAAATAGTGCTCAATACATTAATTGTAGATAGATATAGAAATATCACTGTTAAAATAGTGCTCAATACACCAATTGTAGAGAGATATAGAAATACCACTGTTAAAATAGTGCTCAATACAACAATTGTAGAGAGATATAGAAATACCACTGTTAAAATAGTGCTCAATATATCAATTGTAGAGTGATATAGAAATACCACTGTTAAAATAGTGCTCAATACATTAATTGTAGATAGATATAGAAATATCACTGTTAAAATAGTGCTCAATACACCAATTGTAGAGAGATATAGAAATACCACTGTTAAAATAGTGCTCAATACAACAATTGTAGAGAGATATAGAAATACCACTGTTAAAATAGCGCTCAATATATCAATTGTAGAGTGATATAGAAATACCACTGTTAAAATAGTGCTCAATACATCAATTGTAGAGAGATATAGAAATACCACTGTTAAAATAGTGCTCAATATATCAATTGTAGAGAGATATAGAAATACCACTATTAAAATAGTGCTCCAATATAACAATTGTAGAGCGATATAGAAATACCACTATTAAAATAGTGCTCAATATAACAATTGTAGAGAGATATAGAAATACCACTGTTAAAATAGTGCTCAATACATCAATTGTAGATAGATATAGATACGTTACATAAAGCTATAACGTAATATAATTTAAGATAGAAGATATTGCATATTTTATCAAGATGTCTGATTTTTCCATTTTATAATTTCTTTTTTGAATTTGAATAAATTTTTCACAATTATTTATCACGTTAAAAATCGAATACGCAAGTTCTCAGAATGTCCCTGTTTCCCTCTGCACCGCATATTTCTCTTGCTGGTTGTTAAAAATCGAATCCTAATTTTGATCATTCTGTGATCTCAATGGACTGAATTGTGTCCAACCAAATGGAAAGTATGATTTTGATTTAAATTTATTTGAAATGGTACGCAAACAACGTACATCAATATTCTATAAAGTTTGAATTTGAAAATGCAGTACTCACACAAATACGGTTATTCCGAAATATGTTAGTTCTTTCATAACTTCATGTATAGCAGACGAAACATTAAATGATTTCATCAATATATATCTGCTATATTATTTGCGTGCCACTAAATTAATGCAACAGACATAATATATCTTTTTGTATCGATTGTGTTTTCTTTCGTCCGTTCAGGTAGTAAAATCTGAAAATCTGAATATAGTATTTCTTGTTCATCATTTACCGTTCACTTGAAATGATGTATGTGTCCAAGAGCGAGACATTTTTGCAAAATTTAAATAAATCCGCAATTTTTGTTATTGGAACTTGAGCTATGAAGACTGATTAGCATAGCGAAACAATTCTCGGTTCGACAATATAGCAATACTGTTCATTCTAGGATTGTGTCCCTTTGCACTGTATGTAAACAGATCATTCTCGTTACTAGTCACTTGGACAGGTGTTTTCGACAGCAAGCAACACCAATCTGTGGCGAGTAGTATAAGTGTTTACAGATTTAGAGAAATTACTCCACTTCGCTCCGTAGTGGCTGTAAATCTGTAAACCCCTTAGCAGGCGATCAACTACCCCATTTCGCTCAATAGCTTTGTAAATCACCAGGCGAACACAACTTTATTATTTTCAATTCAATAGGAGAACATAACTTTGATGATTATAATTTAATTGGGATATATTTTGATGTTTTATGCGGAAAATTTCAGCTACTTATTATGGAGATGTTGATTTTATCTTAAATGGGTACGACATATGAATATACCTGAGTATTCTAGAAATTTATTTCATAATGCGTAATAGTGTCGTATGGTGAATAACATTTTACTTTGGTGAATATGGCAGAGGAAAAAATGGATATATGTGTGCAAATTCATACAACTGCAGGTTTGTTGATTTACAAATTCACTCTTTGGGTATTGTTTATTACTGGAAGATTCTCGCCATATCATAAATATAATGGATAGAAAGATGAGGGGAGAATTTATACCAGCAAGGGAATATAAGAACTAATCTTTCATTTTCAGTTCCAGAATACGATACAACTGAAGTAGGTGCACATATAAAACACCTTGAGGAACATTTGAGTTATTATAAACGGTTGAGAGAAAAATTGGTAAAAGAAGGGTACCAAAGTTATAAAGCTTACCAAAAAGACAATTTTAAAAAACTTTCTAAAAAACCAAAATCATTCCTCTTCTGACGATTAGTTTACAAAACTAAAAACTTTACTATGTGATGTGTACATTGTTACGGATATTAAAGAATTTTACAATAAAATTGATAATAGTGGAGGTGTTAAAGACATTGTGATTAACTATGATAACTCTAAAAAACAACATCATTCGCGTTCTATCAAATCCTATGTTATGTTTGGACTTTGGTTAGAGAAACTTTATAAATTTAACCGTGGGAATTTCGCCTCTTTTGTAACAATTTCGTTAAGATGGAGCAGAAAATTACGAAGATTTGTCGACTCCAATTTCGAAATTAGTTGGAATGGTTTCAAATATTAAACATGTTGTAAGAAATACTCCTGAGGAAACATTTTGGAAGTAAGGTGATTTAATTGCTATGAATGACTGAATCAATATAAAACCAACAAACATGTGAAACCAACATAGTCACAATGGTTTGTCATATTATAGGCTTGCATGCGCTGTGGAGTATAAGGCAAACGACTTATATTATTAGAAAGGGTCTTTCAGGGCCGTTTTGAAACCTATTTGGCAGAGGTTGTAACGTGGCAAGTACTCTAGCTCCGAGCTAGTCAGTATTGATTTATCATTATTATTATTACTTTAAATTCCGGGTGTGTTCAACTGATTTCTCATGTAATTATATAAGTGATCACGTGCTTCTATTTTGACAACAACTAACCATTTGTCGTTGTTAACTTAAAATATAGACTTCTATTTATAGAACGGTCCTAAGAAGACCGTTTTGAGTGAATGTATTATACATAAAGTAGATTTCGATGTGGAAAACTCAATAAATGAATTATTAGGTTTTGAAAAGAAATTGTATAGCAAATCCTCAGCTGATGACAATTACTTGCATGAAAGAAGCCTTGGAATATCCAAAAATCCAGTCAGATGTTGCTAAAATGTTAGATGAGCTTGCTGAATGCCTTAGTGAATGTGAAATGACTTTAAAAGGATTAGATGAGACTTATATATTGCAGTTTTCACAGAATTTGCAGAACCTTTGAATTCAATTACCATACAGATACTTCCTTAAGTGTACTGGCTATCAAAAGCTTCTATATTGTTACGTATTAATTCGACACACTTAGACTGTGTGAGAGTCATTTCCCCTTGCCTTCTGATTACAACGGATTTCCATGACTCGCAATTTAAAAATCGTTTACTTGATGTAGTCAGCGTTTTATAATTAATTGCTTGATTTTGTGGATTTATCAGATTATAGGATTTTGATGTATAGGTAAGTCCACTGATGGATATATACTGTTATTGACCAAGTTTGAGTGAAATTAAAAAAATTCTGTTCATTCTCAGTCAATATATTCCTTTAAAAGAGGAAGGTCCAAATTGAAAGATATGGCATAGTTTTCACTTGCTTTAAATCACGAGCGACCATCTAGAAGTTGACGTTTCATTGGATACAAGCTCATGTATGAATGTTTTGAGAAGATGTATTGCCGACGACGACAAGTTCCAAGTTATTTGGTCTGATAATCGTACCAAATTTGTCGGGACAAACCGAGAATTAAAAGAAGAAATTGGCAAATGGAATCAGAACCAAATCCATGACTCTTTTTTACAGTGTAATATTCAATAGAACAACGGAATCCTCCTGCAGCATCCCATTTTGAAGGTATTCGGGGACGCCAGAAGTATCAGAAAGATTCTATTTTCACTATTACAAGAGCAAATTATTTATTTTGATGATGAGGATTGAATACCATATTATGTGAAGTTGGGAGCAGTATCAACTACAGGCCTATAACAAGAACATCTACTGATCCAAATGATATGGAACCAATAACACCAAATCTATATTGACATTGAGATCATCATAACCCACCAGGTACGGTTTATAAAAAGGACAAGTACTCACGTCGTCGCTGGCGTCAAGTGCCATACATTGCAGATGTATTTTTGAGAAGATGGTCCAAGGAGTACCTTACTGAATTACATGAAAGACAGAATGGGTTAAAACTATAAGAAGAAATTTAGATGTTAATAATATAGTGTTACTATACTTTACCAAGAAATAGTTGGTTATTATGAAAAGTTCTAGAAACCTAAACTGATACAAAGAGTCATGTTTGCAGTGTTTTTGACCTTTTCTTGTAATCTTTATTTGTAATTGTTTTCGCTGCCAATTCTACAAATAGGGGACCGGCCAAAATAGCACATCATATTTTACCTTGAGTGTTCAAATGTCTAATTTGCATATACCATATTTGGTAGTCTAAAGACAGTCACATGATCTTTCCCGCTCTGTTTCCGCACAGTCAGTCACATTTTATAAAAGAAAGAAGGAACCAAACTATATTTCAATTCATACTGTGTCATCTCTGTATCTTGATTTTGCCTGACAACGCCATGCAATTTGGGAACGTGGGAAATGTTTGCTTTATGCCGTAACAGCTTTCTAATTACCAAGGAATCTTGAAAATCAGCCTGTAGCACATGGGGCTCTATTGTTGTAACACGTAAGGGTAAAATGCTCTCTGTGATGAAGGAAAAAATAACCTTCCATGCAGTATTTTATTCAATTGAATTGGCCTAAGCTGGTCCAACTTCTACATATCCAGTACCATTCATAAGTTTCA